TAATTCCAGCATTTCTTCAAATATTTAATGGTTGCTATTGCGTGCATTTTTGAAGTGCGCATATGTTCCACGAGGTCGCAAATTTTTAGAATAGAAGCACGTCCAGCACTGGTCAAAAATAATGGCCGAAGTGGAGTTTTTAGCACTCTCCCATCTTCACTAAAGCGACTGGCTCCATGTTTTAGCCCTTCATATGCTTCAAACTTCTTTTCTCGACTACATAAATCATTATTAATATAAAAATTGCAAGCTAGCCTTTTTCGCATCTCGAAATTGAACAAACATTGTGTTATTAAAAGAATAGTACTAAGGTGGAATTCAGAACTTTTTCAGTGGAAAACTGATGTGCACGAGAAATCGATACGGTGGGTAGCTTTGACCGTTGCAAACGAAGGCTTTAAAGTAGTGTAGTACAATCGCTTACCTCAAAGACGATACAGCACCGAAGCAGAGCAAAAGGCAGTAGATCTTCATTTCGACGTTGTTATAAAGCGGAAGATACGTCCACTTATATACAGTTTATGCGGTATCGAGTTCGCTGAAATGGCGTGGGCGTAATTGTTTGCGTTAACTTTTCAGACAACGCGGAAGAAGGCGGAATACAAGAGGAATGAGCTTGTGACCAATACCACTGAATCATGCTTAATTTACGGACTCCACATTTGGCCAATCTACAGCTTTGCGCATAATTACACTGCTGAGACATTCGCTCAGAGAGAAATCGGTGAGTTTCACTACCTACCACTGATCTCATTAGCGTATTGCTGACTGCATGAGCAATCTTTTACTACATATCTCTCATTATTTCCGAAGCGCAGTGGAGGCAAATTAGGTAAACCCAACAAAAGAACCCTGGTTTGTATTGCAGAAATCCGGTGTGTCCTCTGTTCATCAATATTCCTCTGCAAAGTCCAAGAGAAGGTTATGGCATCTCTGCCTGTTCCAGAAGGATTTGAGGCTCCTTTTACCGCAGTACATAGGACCTGGTGGCCTTCTAGCCTGCCTTGTGCGTGGGATTTTTTGGTACCTATTTGATTGATTCATAGAGAAAATCACGTCTTTATGTGGTCCATTCGAATATTCGTTGAGGATGTTGCGTAGTATTACCTTGCCATTGTGTTAGGTTTTCCTTTTTGGTTTTTTTAAGTGATGTCGTTTTTCTTACGAAGAAAATTTTTTCTATGAAGCCCACGTTTTGATATTATACTGTACATCATTCGAAATAGAGCTTCTGCTCTACAGTAATATTCACTTATCGTTTACATGCACTGTGAACTTGTTGAATTCCAAGCTTATGATTAGGAAGGTCAGGTCGACGAAAATTAGCCAAACTGGCAAATAGCTCCAACTTTGCTTCCGTCAGGAGAAATCGATCAGTGAAGCAGTATGTATTCAGTCTTGATCTCTTCTGAACATCCTGCTATTAGGTTGCCCAAGAGCCTTATCGCATTTTTTCTCAAATTTGGTTTTTCTGGTTTACTGCTAAGAGCAATCGGTTCTTTGAATTCAGATTCTTTGGTCTCCGTCTAAGGGCACGTGCGAAACGGAGACTAAACTACTCTTTGAATCCCACCCCTTTAAAAATTTTGAGAAAAGTACATATAATATTGAGATCCAGGAAACAACTTTTGATTTTACAAGCTGAATGGTTCAATGACTACAAAATCAATAATTTTGTTGAAATTTCTACTCTAAAACGCAAGTTTTACATCACACATTATGACCACTAGATGCTTTTTTCGCTCTATTCGCAAATGCGTTTCATTTTCATTTTCGTTCTGAATTCGGTCGAATTTTAGGTGTGAGCCGTAAGGTGTCCAGCGACCACGGAAATCACCCCAATATGAAAAGATTTTCCTTTAAAGCGGCTAAATCTGTCAAACATGCATTTCATACGTAGTCTATTAATCTAAATAGACCACCAGTTTTTGAACGCCTCAGTGAAAAAAAAACTTAGTTCTAATTCGACAAAATAAGTGGATAGTGGTCAACCATCGACTTCTGGCAGAAGACAAATTTGAGAATAGAACGGCATGATTTTTTGAAGAACCTAAAGGCGTGATTGTTTTTCATCAGTACCACGTTGATAACTGGAACCTTCTATCAATTGGCCCGAAGTTTCGACCTTGTCTTCTTCAGAGGCCTGTAGATAGCTCGAAGAATGGACTTCACTGAAGACTTCGGTGAAGTCCATTTGCTCTATTAACATCACTAACAGGGCGTAAGCTGATGCTCCGCATAACTGGTGGAACCTTTGGTGAGTTCGTTATCGTATCGGGTGGTTCCGAGGTGTTTCTCAACACGACGTCGGAAACGCTAGAAGTGGGGGGGGGGTGCTTGGTCGGGTAGATTACAAGATCAAAAAGCTTCGAGCTATCTTCAGGCCTCTGAAAAAGAAGGTCGAAACGTCAGGCCAATCAATAATTTCCAAGTATCGACCTCACGTGGCACAGAAGAACTAAACAATGCGAAACAAACATTACCAGTAACACCGAGGTTCAAACAAGGGATAACACGGAGACTAGTGGCGGAATGTTTTAAAGAGGTTGTGACTAATGGCTAATTTTTGTCGGCTGGACGTGCCATGTTGTGCCTGTGTCAATAAGTTCACAATGTATGTGCAAAACAGGTAAGCAGTTTTTTAGAGCACACATTTCTCTTTTGAACCATATATAACATTAAGAAGAATCATGGAACCTTAGAGAAGAAATTTCGATATGAAAAAAAAGCGATATTACTTATCGGACAACCCATTATAAACTTGAAACATTTTGGGGGATTAACCCATTTTTCTCCCAATCTTTTAATCCTATCCTTTTGGAAAGAAGTCATGGTAGCAGGACGGATTGTGGTGAATTAGTCCGACGACGGCATTGCAAAACGTGCTCGGTGCGGGGGTTATCCCGGATTGGGTCCCGTTCAGATCATAGGAGCTTTTTTCAATGAGGTCGAGTTATTGGCACTTTTTCAGTAGGGGACAAGAAAAACTTCTACATCAGCTGCTCTAACACTTCATGCCTTTACGTGCGCCAAATGCGCAGTATATACCACTACGATTCTCAATGGAAGCAGAATACATTCAAATTACAGAATGAATTTCCTCTATCCTGAAATAGAGTAATTTTTGAGGAGTAATTTTCGTTCCTGCAATTGTTCGTCAGGTGACAGAGAATGATGGGGTGCAATCGGCTTTACCTTAGTTTGTTCTGTATTACCGTTTCTGGATGACTGCGGTCTCTAACTGCCGTAACACTCTACACAAAATTTTCTTCGAAGAGATACTGTTGCATTGCTTATTGAAAATTCTGCAGTTTTGCTCGAACAACATTCGCAACTCTTTGTGCGCTTCCAGTGCTTCTTTTCTTCGTTGACAAACGTGGTACAACACTTTTAGGATTTAATGAGCAAGATAAATTCATTGTCCACAATGATTAAGGTGTTGAGAACAGTTCGACAAAGTTGCTTTAGAAGTTGAGGTTATTACGATCATTCATAGTAACTAGTTCATTCGCACTCGGTAGAATAGGTGACAGTAGAGAGACATATGTGCCAAAATCTGGTCCTAATATTCTATGGAATCACAATTTAGAGAAGGTATGTTGTGAGCCCAGCTTTCTTACAGCTTTGGACAAAAGAGGTCTCAAATGCTCCAGCCCTATACAGCGGCGCTCAAAAGTTTCGCCAAAACGGTTTTTCGTGCATTTTCTCGAGAAAAAAAACCCTTGCATTTCAGCCGTAGATATTTTCTCATAGATTTCCTGAATCGCTATTTTAATTTTATGGCGTGATCAAGCACAATTATATAAATAAATAAATAAATTTCTGGAACACAAGGGAAAGGCATAACATGTCAATACCTAAGGCTTGCCGGTCAACTAAGAAAAACAATGCTCGAAATTGTTTCAACGAACACTTTTACCGTTGCTGTAATAACACAGAGTTTCCTAATGAATAACTCAGTAAAATTAAAGAGTTAAACAGACCAGCGTTCACTCGAGGAAAAGGGGTCCCCATATTGATTTTGGTCAAAAACGAAAATGAAGATGTTACAACTGCATGAAGCATATTTCCTGGCTAGTTGGTCCAGTGGTCGCTATGCTCCATCCTGCCTTCGCGGTCCTTCCAAGTATAGATCCCTTTTTCAAAGGATTTTCAAAACGTCAGCAGTTATGCTTTCTACTGTGTTTGAATGGGATGTACAGCAAAAATTGCTGCGATTTCTGAGCTGTCCAAGGAGAGCCAAAGGCCTGAGCATCTTGATAAAATAGCCTTAAATTTTTCAAACGAGGAGTTGGGCTTAGCAGCGATGCAGCAACTATGTAAGGCAGTTTTTCAACGAAAAGTCACGAAAAGCTAGTAAAAGACTATCGCACCTACGTAGTATATTATTTTTCTTAATCTGTCCGAGGTCTTCTTGGCCTGCCGCGCGGTCTATTGTGGAGTGAAGGTGACCGGTGGAATCCCTCAAGCTACCTAAGGTACATCCATTGTGAAGGCCCCTGTCATTGTTGCAATTATAAATCCTAAAGTAAGTGGAGCGCCTTCAAGGGGTCAAATTCATTTATCAGCCGGCTCTCCTTTTATACCGTAGCTCCTTTAGCACAGGCGCTAAGAACGAAAACATGTGCAAGTCCTATAAATGGGGCACTATATTGTTTGGACACTCCAATCGTGGTCCATGAGATGAGTTTGGACCCTTGACCGAGATCCTAATTGTTTATGACATCATTCCCAGTTACCATACCAATTCGCTTCGTCCTTCGATTGCGATACTGTACCTTGTTAAGTGAATCACTGCTGGTCTGCAAGGTCGGCTGCACATGACGAACGCTAAACGCTTATCGAACGCGTTAAACGGCTAGTGGATCGGATAATCTGCGGACTGTTCGCCAAGATGACTCAGTCCTTAAATGGGTCAGCCTTCGGCCAACGTCCCTGGACCGTAACTGGTTACACTGCTCGGGTCTATCGGCGACGTTAAATCCACGTCTCACTCGAACATGCCGTGGCCAGCGATGGCTGTTCTTCTTCTTCTGTTCGCCCTAGTTTCGAGCACCGGCGCCTTTATCAGGTCACTTTATCATCCCACAGTTTTCTTAAACATTTCTATCTCACATGACTGATCTTTGCTATCATTACGTGTTTTGGGATGACCTTGATGAAATTTACACATTCCAGGGTCAAGCGACAATACGGTTCACCGGCGCACCTTCAACAATGGTCTGTCGATCAACGTTCATACCAGCAGCCGCTCGGATATCGAGAAAGTTTCATTGGCACGGAAGACTACTATCCGAATGTAGACTACTACAACTACTACTCACAACGAGCGATCGCTCCTCACCAGGCGCCCAGGTCATGGACTCTGGATGGATATAATAGTTACAACTACATATACCCGTCCTCATCTTATAACACTCATAGCTCCCATTCTTCAGGTTACGCTATAAAACCCGTCTCTTCCAGTGTTGGTAGCTCCTACGCTAGACCCATTATTATTGGAGAAGTAACCCAAGCTCCAATCAAGAATTCCATTCCTGTTGGTCCTAGTACAACAGCGAAGGACGAGTATCCTACACCACCTTCGGAGTGGGAAGGCGGTCCTGATACGAGGTTTTTTGCAAGAGAAAACTTTCCTAGTGATTCACCAGCCACTTTGGCCAGCCAAAAGCCTGAGACCAGCACTAAAGCAACGTCATCGGTCAGATTTTTCGAAGGGGAAGGATTCGATGAAAATGGCCCGTTTGTGAGTCACGGCGTGGAGGTCGTAAGCGAAGGTGAACCAACCGATTTGAATGATTCCTTTTTGAAGGCCGCTGTTGAAGAGGACATCAACGAGACCGAAGCCTCTTCCTTCTCAACACCTGCCGGCGAAGAAACTGGAAAATCCTCCTCGACAACATTGGAGCCCAAAGAAGTAGAGCCGAACCCAAGCGATAATGAGTCAGACAAGAAGGTCGTTGAGGTCACCGAGGAAACTACAACAATTACTCCGACTGATGGCGGCTTTAGCACTCCACAAGCAGTTATAGAGGAGGCAACGGCATTGTTCATAGACAATGAGGATTCATTTGTTACAACCAGCACTGAGCCAGTACCTAGTACTTCTGAGTCGAGCAGTCCCTCTGATTCGACGATTGTTTCTCAGGACAAATTCATTCCGACAGAAGTTCCAGCCGCAGATTTCTATGAGGTATCTACCGAATCAACCGAGTCAGCAAGTTCGAATGCCACAGTGATTCTGCGATCGCCCCCCTTGCCCATTCAAGTCGCAGAAAAGTTGAAGGAGCTAGGGTTCACCGTTCTGAGGCTATTCAGTTGAATCTCTGTCAATCCCTTTGCTGCCGTTCTTTGAACCCAAAAGACCATGGTTCGAATTTTTCTTGTTGTCATACTTCTCTGATATTAGTTTACTTTCATGATCAAGAGTCGCAGTTTTCGAACAGCAATTAATTATTGCACCTTGTAATATTTAATGCTGAATAATTTAGTGAATATCTCTGAAACATATGATTTCAGCTGTTCGTTTTCTCTCGGGATTGTGTTCTTTTTCAGGAATAACATATATATTTGTTAGCCTCTAGTGCTATAATTGTTCTACTGTAAAACTTTTACGCTCCAATTGCTTCCAACGCAGGTGCATAAAATAATTATCATTGCTACATTATACCACCGTATATATCTCATTTGAAGAAAATAAATGAATAATTTATACAGTATTCACTCAAATCAACCTTTACTTGCTCTGTGCAACACTTTCATAGTTAAACTAGGTAAATTTGGTTCTTTTAATTGAACTGGCCTACTTAGAGGAGGGCACTCTTGAATCTCACCATATTTGCTGTGATCACAGTGATGAGTTAATGAAATAGCGCTAAAGAACATCGATAAATGGAAGAGCTTGAAGATGACAAGAGTACGACCGGTAAAAGTTAGGGGGCACACAATTTTGTTCCCCAATGCTTAAGATAAGAATGAGGGCTAGTAGCACGTAATCGATCATTCAGGGTGTCCTTCTGATAAGTATCGTGTACAGTGAGATGTACCCTTAGGGTGCTTCCCCAAGTCATTCTAAAATGGTCCAAGGAACGGTCCTGAATCAGGAGAATGGAGAGATTTGCTTAGAATAAGGGTGCAGGAGCTGCGGGACGGCTTGGTGAAGAAAAGTGGACAGGGATGTCGGGCAGGAAGTGTGTAGGACATCCACCGGTCCTTATCAAAAATGCACTTCAAATGAGTTGTTCACGCATTATCTTGTCCGCAGTCTTAAGGAGCCTTAAGGAGTGCTCTCTAGCTCTCTAGCACTAACAAGGAGCGATTCAGGGCAAGCCGCGCTTTTTGGAAACGGTTTCTTGCATGTTGTAGGGACGCATGTATGGACCACAAAACCATGTTTCGTTTTCGCGCTGAACGGTTTTAGTAGTACCAAAAAAGTGGTGAATAATACCCTTGATGGTTCAATCCCCCGCGGCGACTAAATTTTGCAATCAAGGTTGGCGGCCACTTGTTGGCTTCAAAATGGTCCTGACGATGAATTTGACATCTGATTTTGATATTTAGCGCGATTTGGCACCAAACCGTAGGCGCCAACCCAAATGCAAAATTTAGTCGCCACGGGGGATCGAACCCTTAACAGTACCTTATGCTTCTTTTTTGGTACTGCTAAAACGTTTCAGCGAAAATGAAACATGGTTTTGTGTTCCCTACATGCGTCCCTACAATATGCAGAAACCGTTTTGAAAAAGCGTGGCTTGCTCTGAAAGCGGGTCAACCGTCACGTTGGACCGATTTCGAAAATTTTACGACCCCCCCCCTTCTAGAGGGCCTCGATACGACCCCCCTCAGGGTCAACCCTTCACCACCCTCGCCTGATCGCCATCATGGGGCTCATTCTATAGTATTCGATTCTGAGACCAGTCGACACAGCCCAAACTCCGCCCACTTTTTTCCTCCAAAATTACCGTCGAGCGGGGGGGGGGTATACCTACCACGAAACCGCAAACATCCTCTCACTTTCCCTCTATTTCACCAACATTTCCACTGCAACATTTTCTAGGATACAAAGGGCGTCTTTCAGACAGGGTCAACCGTGCCTTGGTCCAACGCAGGATTGACCCTGTCTGAAAGACCCCCTTTGTAAGTGGTCCTATTTGGGGTGGAAAAAAAGGGGGTCGTACTTTGCGAGGTAGCGTTAATGTTACAGTAAGGG